TGCATCCTTTCCTTCAAGGCTCAGGGGTCCAAGATTATCTTCTGTGTCTGTGTTAATTGGTTTCCCTTTTCTTTGTTGAAGAGGGTCTGTGCAATCCTACTGCCTAGTCCGCCATCTTGCCCCGCCTCCTTAATTCTATTTTTGTGCTATGTTTGAAATCGGTTGTCTTCTGCTTAAGGTCAGGACCTGACTTGGATTACAAAGGCAAGCTCTATACTTTCTTGAATAGTGCAAATTGGTCCTCAATGAAACTTTATAAAAAGCAATAATTCTTTTCATTTGTGTTGTGCTTTATATATAAAAAACCAAAAAACAAACTCACTGCCATCAAGCTGATTCGACTCATACTGACTCCTCCTTGGGTTTCCAAGGTGGTATCTCTATGGAAGTGGATTGCCCAGTCTTCCTTCTGAGGAGGGACTGGTGGGTTTGAACTGCCAGCCTTCTGGTTAGCAGTCATGCCTCAGGCACTACACCATGAGAGCTGCCAATGCTTTATAGCCACGGGTTACTTTAAATAACACTCCCTCATTGAATCCTCCCAACAACCTGTGAGGCAAGTATAATTCTGCCCATTTTTTAGGTATGGAAACAAGAACAAGGAGGTTAAATACTGGTATAAGAATCAGAGATGTAAGAAATCACATCTGTCTCCAGCAGAGGGCAGGTTCTTGGCAGCCACTTTGGCAGCTTACAGCAATCCTAAAGAGTCTCATTGGCTAGGAGGTCTGGTGGCGTAGTGCCTAAGGCATTCGACTGCTAACTAGAAGACTGGCAGTTTGAACCCACCAGCCACTCCTCGGAAGGAAGACTGGGCAATCTACCTCCGTAGAGATACTGCCTCAGAAACCCAGGAGCTGGGAAGGCATACAGGCCTGCTCCTTATAGGAGGAGAACAGAGCAGGCTTCATACTCTGGCACACTGGAGACCAGAGCCACCATCTCACTCCTTCCCAGAAGAGGGAAGTCAATCTGATAATTCTGTTTTATTTTGGTTTCAGTGGAAATAGCTCCCTCCATGTATTCAGCTACTTCTGGTTGACAAAATATCTCCAAACACACTCTCCTATACAAGCCTTGCCAACAAATTTGCTGCAAGGTAGGCTTAAATATTTTTTGATCTTCATTTTTTTCACACAAGGAAACTGAGGCTCACTGAAATAACATGACTTGCCCAAAGTCTTAAAAGTAGTGCCTCAATGAAGTCCTCTGATTCTAAGTCTAGAATGCTTCCTATTAAAAACTTAAGTGTTTGAAACACTGGGTGGTTTATAGAGTACTATATGAAGAGAATTTTGAATAGACACAAATGTTAGCCCTAATCTCCACCATTTGTTGCAAAGACAGTCACATGATATGGTAGAAAAGAAAACACGTGATTTGGAAGCACAAAATGTCTTTGTTGTTTGTCTCACATTATTTATTTCATTTATACTGTGAAAACTAAGGACAATTTTGTTCTATCCATATCTTTATTCAGCAGCTATGGTATCTGCCACACAGTAGGAGGTCAACATTAACCCACTGAATGAAAGCTTCAGGTCTCACTCTATTACTATTAAAGGCAAGGTTTTCGAAGTCTGGCAGCTGACAAGTCCTTCTCTCCTTGACGGTAGTGAGAGTATCTTTCCTCCTGCATTTGACACTTGACTACCTTGGAGGTCCTATCCTGTCTTCCTTGCCTCTCTTGTCTCCCTCATAGTGTCACCTGGAGTACTCAGTAGATACTCAGTGTCAATGTGTCACCTCCGATGCCCCTTTGTAGACAACAGATCTCGTTGTAGTCAGGAGGCTGGGCAGATAAATGTAAGGTGAGTGGGGCTCCCATATCCTTTCTCCTGCCCTGGGTCACTGAGTAAGAAACAGGGACCATAAGGCCAGCCCTGACAACAGCAACATGGGGAGTGAAGGGCCTGCCCCTGCAGCCCCACTCCCTGGCACCTACCTGAAGTTTTCCTGGGTGTCACAACTTATGGACTGCCTTCCTATTTCTGTAGAGGTGGCTGAATTAGCCAAAGAAAAGGAGTGGCTGCCCTCTGCCCTGCTATGTCTATACCTAACTTCCCTGGCTGTTCTGCAGGACCCTACAAAGAGAAAGGCTGGAGCTACAGACTCTGGGACTCCATCTTGGCTCTGGGGCATTGGTCCATATTGCCCTGGGTCGTATCATTTGACCCTGTTTGCAGCATGTGAAGGTGCAAGGCCAGCGGAAGCGCCTGAACACAGTCAGAGAGAATAAGGAAGCAGGGGCTTAAGAGAGCCAGCCCCTCTGTCCCCAGGAATGTGTAAAACCTGTCTTCGGGACCATACTGCAACCTCCCTGCTGTGACTGAAACTGCTTTCTGGGTTAGGAAGCTCTGGGCAGCCAACATGAGGGATACATTTTGGCATCAAAGAGACTGCCATTCAAGTCCCTTCTTTACTGCTTATTAGCTGTGTGCTCTTCACCTCTGGTAACCACTTTCCTCACATGGCTTGATTGGAGTAATAATATCTGTCTCTGCAGGCTGATGTGAGAGGCAAAGGTCCCACACACATGAGGAGATGTTTAACTGTAAAGGATTATGATGAGTGGTTCCCAGAGGACAGAATGAGGGTATATGGGGACTTTTGTCAAGGTCATCCCAAGGGTGTGTGAGGTCCTGTGTCTATAAAAATTTGGACCACCCAAAATTAGAGTGTCATCACTATTCTGGCATTCAAGTTTGTAAGATCCTTCAAAAGAAAATATCATGCCAGCTAGCGGGAGCAATCTGCTTGCTAGAACACCATCTAGGAACTGGGGACCTGGTCAAGGCCTCAGAGTGACTCATAGATATGAGTCTGGGAGCTCTTGGACACCTACCTGGTCAGTCTCATTTGTTGGGAGTGGATGGTGTGTAGAGATTTGGAGAGTGCCCTGAAGGAACAAATTGTAAAGGAACTTAGAAAATTATGAGAAGAGCACTCCAAATCCCAGGACCCCTACGGCCTAGGGCCTGGGACAGAAGCCTTGCTTGACTGGGTCTAAGGGTGGTAATATCTATGTGAAGCCCAGTTTAAATGTTTGCATGACTTTGCGCTAAATTAAAGCTTAAAGTTAGAGTGCAAGAAAGGAATTGAGATTGTTAAAGCAAGAGGGAAACTCAAAGACTGCTAACGTCTTTTCTTGGGGTAAAAGGATGAAAAGAAAAACAGCTTCTACATTAGCCCATTTGTTAGGCTGTCATGAGGAGGAAGTGATGTGGAGGTTGTCTTATCTCTTAATGTCTGGTGTGAGGTTGTGTGGTGGCAGCTGTGGTTGTAGTATTGTGTCTTGCAAGGTTACATGGAGCTGCATCGTATGTTGTGAGTTGTGTGGTTTGGGTTGTGTGGAGAGGAGCTTGCAGTGACCTAGGGCCCTAGGTGCTGTATCACCTGGCATGGTCAGGTATTGAGTATTGTTCCTGAGGAAGGTATACCTTTACCTGTGGGGTTGAGTTGGAGAGGGACTGAAGGGAGGCTTCCTTCCTTGCCCTTGGCATCTAACTAGATTCCTAGTCACAGGAGCTTTCGGAGCTGAGCAGGCCTCTCTCCCAGGAGGGCATTTCCTCAGGTTAGCCTGCAGGGATCACCCTCCTTGGGTAGGAATGGCCTCTGGGCAAATACCTTGGTGTCTGCTGCTCCCTCCAACCTGCCCTACAAGCTACTGGCCAATTCTTGATGACTCAGTGGGAGTTGAACATGTTCTTTTTCCTGGGACCCTGCAGATGAATACACTTTCCACACTAAGTATCCCCTGTCGTTGTTTAAATCCATGGAGGTGGGCCAGGCAAAAAAAGTATTTGCGAATGTTTCTGCTTGTTCACTCTCCAAGGAAGAGGACAGAGAGCAATGGGGCCAGTCAGGCTCTGCTTTCTGAGACGATGCTGAGATCCTGTGGGCCACCAGGGAAGAGTGTCTCTGCCAGACATGTGCTGCCAGATCCCCTGAAAGATAGATGCAACCCCCCATCCCTTCCTCACATTCAGTCTGATTTTCTTCATTAGTGGGAAGAGCACAAGACTAATAAGTAGGAGATTTGGGTTCCAGAATTGGCTTGTCACTGTTTCTGGGTGACTTTAGCCAAATTTCTCTGCCCTGGTTTGTTTATGTACAATGTGGGGATAATAGTCATATCTATCCTACTGGTTATTTTGAGATGTAGTGATATAATGTAGGTGAAAGTGCTTTGGAAAATTGATGCCTTGTTACACAAATGTTATTGTTGTTAGTTGCTGTTGAGTTGACTCCAAATCATGGCCATCCTTGAGATAAGGCATCCAATATTTAACCATTTGTGCCACCCAGGGACTCATACACAAGTATGAGGTATTACTGTTTAGTTTAAACATCTCTGAGTTCCTACTCAACGCTTACAGCCACCCCTGGAGTTTTAGTATTCTTCCTCTTAGGAAGACCCAAACCAGTGCTTCTTAATCTTTATTGTGTAAGTGAATCACCTGTGATCTTGCTAACTGTAGATTATGATGCAGTATGTTTAGAATGGAGTCCCAGATTCTGCATTTCTAAACTCCTAGGTGATGTAGATACTACTTGTCTGGGAACCACACTTAACTGCCCCTCTCAGGAAAGGAGATTGAAAATTTTCAGCAATGGATTTGGAGAGGAAGCTTAGAAATACAGTTTAATCTTATGGATTTATTTAAAGTTTGTAGTCAAAGATGATCTCTTGGTCACAAAAGATATATTTTGTTCTTTGGAAAAATACAAAGAAGGATTGAGGGAGGCAGGAGAGGGAGAGAAACCAAGAATGAGTGTGAGAAACAGAGAGACAGAGGGAGAGAGACAGACAGACAAGAGATAGAGAAGGACCCAAGAAGCCCAGGACTGGTGGGCAGGTCACTTCCTGGATTTCTCTGAAGAACAGCCACCGTTGGTCTTACTAAGAGAATCTGTGCTGCCCATTCTTGAGCCCACACTGTTGAGGATTTTATCAATTTCTCCTGGGATGTTTTGTTTCTCCTCATTTTCAGTCTCCCTGTGGTAGAAGTAGTTGAAGTTGGAGACAATGACAGGTACAGGGAGGGCAATGGTGAGGACCCCTGCGATGGCACACAGAGTGCCCACAATCTTCCCCCCTGGGGTGGTTGGACACATATCACCATAGCCCACAGTTGTCATGGTGACAACTGCCCACCAGAAGCCATCAGGAATGCTGGAGAAGTGGGACTCTGGCTCGTCCACCTCAGCAAAGTAGACTGCACTGGAGAAGAGGATGACTCCAATGAACAAGAAGAAGATGAGCAGCCCCAACTCCCGCATGGAAGCCTTCAGTGTCTGTCCCAGGATCTGCAGCCCCTTGGAGTGGCGGGAGAGCTTGAAGATGCGAAAGACCCTCACCAGCCGGATGATCCTCAGGATGGCCAGGGACATGTTCTGCTGGGCAGTTGGCTCTGTCTCCTGGACCAGCTCTGTGATGAGAGTTGCAAAGTAGGGGATGATAGATATGATATCAATGATGTTCATGATGTTCCTGAAGAAGTCTGTCTTGCTGGGACAGACCACAAACCGGAGCACCAGCTCGAAGGTGAACCATATGATACAGGTGGACTCCACCATGAAAAAAGGGTCTGTGAACATGGTATGGGAGAGGACTGTCTTGCTTGTATTGAGGCTGGGGTCTCTGACTACTTTTAGCTCCCTGTCCTCCCGGAACTCTGGCAATGTCTCTAGGCAGAAGATGGTGATGGAGATGACCACAACCAACACTGAGACCACAGCCACACCACGGGCAGCACTGGAGCTCTCAGGGTACTCAAAGAGGAGCCAGAACTGCCGGTGGAAGTCATTGGTGGGGAGTGGTATTTCAGGATCTTTGATGAAGCCCTCATCCTCCCGAAACTGGTCCATAGCCTCACTACCCAGCTCGTAGAAGGAGATCTCATCAGCAAAAACATCAATGGGGACATTGGCTGGGCGTCGAATTTTCCCACCAGATTGGTAATAATATAAGATTCCATCAAAACTGGGCCGGTTCCGATCAAAGAAATACTCATTTCTCATGGAGTCAAAGAACTGCATCCTTTTCTCACGGTCTCCCAGGAGGGTCTCTGGGAACTGATTGAGTGTTCTGAGCTGGGTCTCGAACCTCAGCCCAGCAATGTTGATTATCACTCGCTGGTTTCCTTCATTCAAGGCCACTGGCTCAGGCCCTGGGGAATTGACGTAGTCTTCAGGAAGCTTGGAGAAGGCAGTCTCATGGTTAGTGCTATCACTGATGAGAATCTTCCAGTTGGAGAAGGGGCTGCTCCCAGGCCTGCCTTTTGAGCTGGTTGGGTCAAAGTCTGTGGCATAGCCTGGCTCTTCCTGGATTTCATCTGAGTTATCAAAATTGACCAGAGCAACCTCCATTTCTTTCCAGCCACACACATCCATCCTAGGGGAGTCAGGGGAGCAGCATGAAGACCCTCAGCCTTTCCTGTCTGCTGTAAGCTGTGGAGAAAAAGTTCATTACAAAGAAGCAGTGGACTCTCAGTTACTAGGTAAGTATACCAATAGATTGAAAAATGATCATTTTTTAGCTTGGGAAAGAAAGCTATGGTTATTTAGGCAACGTTGAAATTAGTTTGCACTCCCTGAATTTGCATACACTAATAACTAGAATTACAAAGAAGGAGCCTAATCTTGGGGGGCTGTCCCTAAGCAAGAAGGGTCGCTATACATGATGGCAGAGAGGGACCAAAATAAAAGAGGAAGTTAAAATTTCTTAAAAATAGAAGATATAAATTTGTATTTGTATGAAGTCCCTTAGTTTACCCAACATTTTCCCATGCCCCTTAAGGTACTCTGGCACAGTGCCTAAGGCATTTGACTACTAACCAGAGTTTGAGGTTCAAACCCACCAGACATTCTACAGAAGGAAGACTGGACAATCTACTGCCTTAAAGTTTGCTGCCTCAGATACCCAATGGGGGGTTGCTATGAGTCACAATTGACTCAATGGCAGTGGGTTTAGTCTCATCCTTAATGTCTCTCTTTCTTTCACATTTGACAGTCAATCCTTCACACACCTTTTTCCTTCACACACCTTTTTCCTTCACACACCTTTTTGGTTATATATTCAAAATACATCTAGAATCCAGTCATTTTTCATCACCTCCACCACTATCTCTTGGACCATGTGGTGGGGGGCAAGGAGTATATACATGAACCCCATTGATATTACGTTGAGAAGGAAGAAAAAGAGAATGCAGAGTGGGCAATTGTCCCAACAGCATTTCTTAAGCTATCTGTGCCTTAGACCCTTTATCTGTAAGTAACTTCCCAGGTTGTTTTTTGAGGATATATTACATGACATAAAATCAGAACCAAACCCGTTGTTGTTGAGTTGATTCTGACTCATGGGGACTCCATGTGTTACAGAGTAGAACTGCTGCATAGGGTTTTCTTGTCTATAATTTTTATGAAAGCAGATTTCCAAGCCTTTTTTCCATGGCACCAGTGAGTTTGAACCTCCAACCTTCAGGTTAGTAGTCAAGAGCAAACAGTTACCATCCAGGGACTTTATTAAATGAGATAGTGTATGTAAAATTCACAGTGGTAAGATCAATATATGATAGCTGTTGATGTTTTAAGGAGCTCTGGTGGCACAGTAGTTAAACACCTGGCTGCTAACTGAAAGGTCATTGGGACCTAGCCACTCCATGGGTGAAAGAAGTGGCAGTTTGTGTCCATAAAGATTACAGCATGGGAAACCCTGTGGAGAAGTTCTACTTATAGGGCTGGTATGAGTCAGAATCTACACCATGGCAACAGGATTATTGTTTTGATATCAACTGCTAACTGAAAGGTTAGAGCTTTGAGTCTACCCATGAGTTGGAGTTGATTTGATGGCAAATGGTACTGGTAATTGTTTGTTTGTTTCCAATTTATTTATTTATTTATATTGTGCTGTAGGTGCAAGTTTACTGGTCATTGTTTTTGTCAACTTCCCCACATAACAAGGAACTTTCAAAGCCAACAGCCATTGGTATTGTTTTGGCCTAAGTCTAAAGTGTTTATGGGCAGTGATTTAAATTTTAAAAATATTTAAATGGAAAGAAAGTGTGTGTGCCTGGGTTGGGGTTGAGGAGACCATATCCACAAACATAGACCAAGTTTCCTTCCTTAGGTTCAGTTAAGCTTCCATTTCAATGTAAGAACACTGAAGCCAGGCAAATGTGGGGCTGAGACTCCAGCCCTATGCTCAGGACTAGCACTTTCTCCTTTGGGGTCCTGGCCCTGGGGTGGCCCTCCCTGCTTGTCACCATCTTGCTGTGAATCCTTACCCACTTCTTCCAGTCTGAAAGGAAGGGGTGTCATTAGGGAGCTCTGGGGTAGGGGGCTTGGGATCCACTTCTTTTTTTAATGTGGTAAGTATATGTGTAACAAATCGTTTGTCTTTCAACCTTCTTTACATGTACAATTCAGTGACATAAAACAAGCAAACAAAAACCCATGGCTGCTGAGTCTATTCCAACTTATAATGACCTACAGGACAGAGTAAAACTACCCCATAGGGGTTCCAAGCCTGTATATCTTTATGGAAGTCTCATCTTCCTCCTACAGAGCAGCTGGTGGGTTTGAACTGCTAACTGCTGACCTTTTGGTTAGCAGTGAGATGGTTTAACCATTATGCCACCCAAGCCCCTTGTCAGTGACATTAATTATGTTTATCATGTTCAACCACTACCATTATCAGTTTCCAAGTTTCTTTGGAACCACTTCTGTGTGGCTAGAAACCCAAACCCACTGTCACTGAGTCAATTCTGACACATAGTGACCCTATAGGACAGAGTAGAACTACCTCATCATTTTTTCGTTTTTGTTTTTCCTCTCCTTGCTACCCTTTTCTAAAATATTCCAAATATTTTCAAGGCTGCAAACTCTTAGGGAAGCAGACTGGCTCATCTTTCTCCTGTGGAGCAGTTGGTGGGTTCAAATTGCTGACCTTTTGGTTAGCAGTGCTTTATAAGCCTTCAGCTTTAACCGTGGTGCCACTAGAGCTCCTTGTGTGTGGCTAGAGTAGGCCCTTATTAGGAGTGTTAGGAGGCTAGGAACAGAAGGCATGTGGGAATTAGGGAGATCTTTGGCCAAATAATTAACTTCCTCTTTTGGGAGTAGGGCCACCTTCTCTTGTCCCCTCCTGTCCTCTTCTTTGTTTTTTCCACCTCCAGTTCAATGTGGCAGAAAGAGGGGTGGCTGGAGAGGGTCTGGGTGATGTAGGAGGTGGTCTACAGGAGCATGCTGTCTGGGTTGTTCACATGCTCCATTTAGATACATCAGCGTTGACCTTTATAAAAGACAACTGGTCTTGTGAAAAGAGACCTGGCTTGAGGCTCTGCCTTGCCACTTAACTATATATTTTTGAGCAAATCACTGGATTTTATGAGCCTCAATTTTCTGATCTGTCAAATGGGAAGAAATAATGGTAATTCCTATCTCAAAGATTATATTGAGAACTAATCAAGGTGATATCAGTGAGAGCACTTTGTAAATTATGAATTATTTCAAAAATATCAGGAATTACCATCCTGTCCCCTCCTCTCTGCTCCATACATAAATACAATATGTGGATACCTGTGGACAGAAAGCATGCTGTTTGTTTGATATGGTATCACATTTCTGCAAGAGGAATTCTCTGTTGTAGCCAAGTGGTGATCTCACTGTCTTCTCTGACCCACTCTGTCTGGCCCTGTCTGCAAGCTTTTGTCTCTGTGGGGCTCTTGCTTAGCATATTGTTTTCCCTCACCCATGTCTCTTCCTGTCCAATGCAGACTGTTAGGCCCTGCCTTGTCCACAAGGCTTTCCCTGACCATCCCAGAGTGGAGAGCCTTCTGCCTCCCTCAGCTCCTGGTCTCCCTGCCTGATCACTTACTTTTTCACTCAGTTTGGAAGGCTAGCTTCCAGGGGGCAGCCTCAGCTCTTCAGCTCTCTTGCAAGCCTTTAGGGTGCAGGGCAGCATCTGACTGAGTTTTCCCTACAACCATGCAGGATCTTGGAGGACAGAATTCACCTCTGATACCCAAATATATTATCTCAATGCCTCTTTCAAAGTGGCAAATTTTAGGGTGACCGATAAGGGTCAGGATACTGTAGGAGGTGGTGGTGCAGTGACAAAGTTCAAACAGTGTATTCTGTGGACACTCAGTGAATGAATGAAGAAATAATTGCAAGCTCATGAATGCAGGTACCATGTCTGTTTTGTGCATCACTATGGCTTAGAATCCCTAGGTGGTGCAAATGGTTAACACACTCAGCTGCCAATGGAAAGGTTGGGGTTTTAGTCCATCTAAAGGTGCCTTGGCAATCTACTTCCAAGAAATCAGCCATTGAAAACCCTATGGAGTACAGTTCTACTCTGACACAAATGAGGCTGCCATGAGTTGGAGTCAATTTGAGGGCAACTGGTACTGGATGATTGACTCTAGCACCTAGTTCAGGGCTTAGTCCCTCCAAGGGCTCTATTAATCTCTGGTGAGTAAATGAATGAGTGATGAATGAATGAAGTGTGGCAGGCAGCATACTGGTCTTGGAGTCAGGATACCTTCAATGCCTCTACTGTATAATCAGTGACAATTTTCTTTCTTTGAGCAACCATTTTTTCATTTATAATAAGAAAACATGCTAAGTGAAAGAAGCCAGACAAAAAAGAGCACAAATAGAATAATTCCATCTGTACAAACTTCTAGGAAGTCCAAACTGATCTCCAGTGACAGAAAGCAGATCAGTGGTTGGTTGGAGATGAGGATGGGGACAGGGAGGGAGGGATGGCAAAAGGGCACTGGCAATCACTTTAAGGGTGATGATTATGTGTATCATCTGGATTGTGGTGACGGTTTCACAGATGTATGTCAAAACTCATAAGATTGCACACTAGATGCAAATCTAGTGTGGATCATTTTTACCTCAATAAAGGTGTAAGAAAAAGGCAATTGAAAATACCATGGCTTGAGTCAAGAGCACCTCAGTCTTCAGAATGACATCTTTGCTCTTTACAGACACTTCAAAGAGATCTTTTGCAGCAGATTTGCCCAGTGTTTGATTTTTTTCACTGCTGCTTCCATGGGTGTTGATTGTGGATCCAAGTAAAATGAAATCCTTGACAACTTCTATCTTTTCTCCATTTACCGTGATGTTGATTATTGATCCAGTTGTAAGGATTTTTGTTTTCTTTATGTTGAGATGTGATTCATACTGTAGGCTGTAGTCTTTGATTTTCATCAGTAAGTGCTTCAAGTCTTCTTGCTTTCAGCAAACATGGTTATGTCATGTGCATATTGCAGGTTGTTAATGAGTCTTCTCCAATCCTGATGCCATGTTCTTCTTCACACAGTCTAGCTTCTTGTATTGCGTATGCTTACCATACAGATTGAATAAGTATGGTGAAAGGATGCAACCCTGATGCATACCTTTCCTGATTTTAAAACCATGAAGTACCCCCTTGTTCTGTTCTCCCTGTGCTTAGTGCTTGGCGGTTTTGTCTGTTTGATGGTGGGAGAGAAGCTGCTGTCTGCCCTGGGCACAGTGGTTGTGCTTTATTTGAAACGTTGTTTTTACTGTGTGTCAGCTCTGACTAATGATGAGTCTCTGCACACTGGAATGAAATGCTGCCTGGTCCTGCACTATCCCCATTGTTGGCTGCATATTTGATCACGTTCTGTTGTGACCCGTAAGTTTTCATTGATTGACTTTTGGGAGTAGATCACCAGGCTTTTTTTTTCTAGTTCA